TCGCTGTTTTATGGTGAAACTAGCCTATATTTATAGAACTGTTCACTCTATTTCTATAGAAGAAATCAGCTGAATTTTATACTCAAAGCCACTAACATTTGATACAAGCTCTTTCCTGTGACCTCTCACAACTATTCTTAAGCGCAGACAAACATACAAGGTGTGCTTTTCGAAAATGACTAATAGAAGGGATTAAGCTAATAACTACGCCACTTAACCGTATAAAGACAAGCTTAACACTTTTAGATTTTCTTCCTTTGGAATTGCTTTGACAAGATGTTTCAAGTGATAATAAATTATTGATGAATTATTTTGTTTTCTATTATTTCATGCTCATTATAGATATTATTTAAGTTATTTTACTTAATTTCAATCGAGATCTGAATTTTTGAGTGTGTTCAAAATGTTTGTTAACGCTTCTTTACAGGTTTTCTCGATTGCTGGCGCTAATATTTGTTTAACCGTCCTGTACAGAAATCAAATTAGACAACGTTGAAACACGAAGTGAGAAATGAAATATTTGTACGTACTTGTTTTAGATATACATGTTTTGAATATCACTAACGTGAAAGATGATTGTCAGATAGTACAATACAAAACTCAAATCCTATTCAGGTTGATTTGAACAGTCATTACAAGTCAAAAATGGTAAAAAATCAATATCGCAGCGTTAAAACTGGCAAGGTTATGTAAGTTATCTTCTCGAAAATTTTGTTTGAAAAAATTTTAAATACTCTATTTGTGTATGTATTTGCAGAAGCCAGATCCAGTTTGCGCCCTTTTCGTCGTTGCAAATGCAAAAAGAAGCACATATTCATGTTGTTAGTAAAAATCTTTATACACAAGATGCACAACGAAAACCGTGTCAGTTTGGAGTACTTGATCCAAAATTGGTAAGCCTTTAACATCTTTATAAACTACTCATTGAAAACATTAATCGTTCTTTCTTTCAGGGTGTTTGCGGTGCTAATCGTACGTGTGAAACATGTTTTCAAGATGTAAATAAATGTCTTGGTCATTTTGGCTATATTGATTTACAACTACCAGTGTTTCATATTGGATTTTTTCGATCAATCATTGTTGTTTTACAAACAATCTGTAAAGTAAGCTTTCATAGAAAGATATTGTTAACTTGTGATGAACAATTAATATAGATTATTTTTTTTCGAAGAAATGCTCTCGTGTTATGTTACAAAAAGATATTAAACAAGAATTTCAACGTTCATTATGTCGACCAGTATTATCATATTTACAAAAAAAAGGTTTAAGAAAGAAAATTCATGAAAAAGCAAAGAAAACAACGTTATGTCCGTCGTGTGGTGAATTAAATGGTAAGAGTTTTAGATTTCTGTGAAGTTCAACAAATATTTTTTCAGTTTTTTTATGTAGGAGCTGTATTGAAATGTGCATTATTAAAAATAGCCCATGATAAATATCGTAGTCAAAAACGTCAATCTGGTCCGTTAACGAATATCAATGAAGCGTTCCATTCAGCCAAACAAACGATGCCTGATGTAGGATCACTAATTAATTCTTATACAGAAATACTCAATCCTGTTCGGGTTCTAGAATTATTTGAGCGTATACCAACAGAGGTAAAAATACATTTGTTCTCGAATTATTTTACTTTTACGTTTAGCTTGTGGTTTTAGGATCTACCACTATTACTTATTGATGAATCTATTGTGCATCCAAGAGATTTTTTACTATCGAGAATATTAGTACCGCCCATATGTATTCGTCCAACAGTGCAATCAGATTTTCGTCAAGGAACGTGAGTATTTTATCATTTTTCACTGAAGTTTAGTATATAAACTATTGATTCTTTTTAGCAACGAGGATGATCTGACCATTAAACTGAGTGAAATTATATTTTTGAATGACGTTATACAACGAAATCGTTTAAACGGTGTTAAAATGGATAAACTAGTTGAAGAATGGGATTTTTTGCAACTGCAGTGTGCGTTGTATATAAATAGCAGTATATCTGGAATACCGGCACATATGCAACCAAAAAAATGGATTCGATCATTTGCACAGCGTCTAAAAGGCAAACAAGGACGTTTTCGTGGTAATTTATCGGGAAAACGTGTTGATTTTAGTGCACGAACAGTCATATCGCCAGATCCAAATCTCCGCATTGATGAGGTAGCTTTATCGAGAAAAAAAACCCTTAAAATTCACCATATAAACTGCGAATATGTTTTAGGTCGCCGTTCCTATTCACGTAGCAAAAATCATGTCCTATCCGGAAATTGTAAATAAAATAAATTTAGAATTTATTCGTCAGCTTGTACGCAATGGACCAGATGTACATCCCGGTGCCAATTTTGTGATTCAAAAAGCGAATGAACATAAAAGGTTTTTAAAATACGGTGATAGAAATGAAATAGCTCAAAAACTGCGTGTGAGTCTCGATTTATTTTGCTATTCATACTTGATTTTACTTGTTATTTTTTTCAGGTGGGTGATATTGTTGAGAGACATTTGATTGACGGTGATGTCGTCTTGTTTAATCGTCAACCATCGTTACATCGTTTGAGTATCATGGCATTGTTTGCTCGAGTTATGCCACATCGAACATTTCGTTTCAATGAATGTATTTGCTCACCTTTTAATGCTGATTTTGATGGAGATGAAATGAATTTACATTTACCTCAAACAGAAGAAGCAAAAGCTGAAGCTCTAATATTAATGGGGGTAGGTAAGCGGCGGTTTACTATCCTAAAAGGAAACTAAAGCATGATCAATCATTTTTATTTTACAGACAAAATCAAATCTTGTCACTCCACGTAATGGCGAAATGATTATAGGAGCAACCCAAGATTTTCTAACTGGTGCTTATCTTCTAACACAAAGGGATGTATTCTTCGACCGATCAAAAGCATGTCAGTTATTAGTATGGATTCTCACAAATAAAGATGAATATGAAAAAATTCGCTTGCCACCGCCAACTATTTTCAAAGTATGTGATATGATAAAACTAGAGATAATAATGTGTTATTTTGTCTATTATATTTTAGCCATGTCAGCTGTGGACGGGTAAACAATTATTTAATCTCGTTCTGAAATTGAATAATAATTGTAAGGATGTAATAAATTTACGTGCGAAAGGAAAAGCTTATTGTGGTAAAACCGAAGATCTTTGCCCAAATGATGGATGTAAGTAAAAAAAGGAAGAAATCTGATTCATTCTTCACACAGTTAATCTTATCATATGATTATTCTAGTTATAATCATACGGAACAGTAAACTTCTGCTTGGGTGCGTTGATAAAAGTGTATTAGGCGCAAATGGAAAAACAAATGTATTCTATATGTTATTACGTGATTGTTCTGAAGCGGCAGCAGCGACGGCCATGGCACGCTTGGCACGTTTAACAAGTTATTATTTGAGTATGTTTTTACACACATTTTCCTCCCGATGGTAAATATACTCTATCTTCCTTATTAGTGAATCGTGGCTTTTCCATTGGTTTGATTGATGTAACACCGGGTGAGAAATTAATGACAGAAAAACGCGATCTTGTTACCGAAGGTTATACAAAATGTAGTTCATATATTCGACAAAAACAAGAAGGAAAATTACAATGTCAACCGGGGTTCTCACCAGAAGAAACGCTTGAGGTATCTAATGCACTTCACTAATTTTTTCAAAATTATATGCACTTTTCTTATCCATTAGGCATTGATTCTAAAAGAATTATCAAATGTGCGTGAATTAGCTGGTAATTTGTGCTTAAATGAACTACAACGCACCAGTAACAGTCCGTTGATTATGGCTATTAGTGGCTCAAAAGGTAACGTTGCTTAGCCTTCGCGTGTAATATTCTGATTGTTATCTATATTAAAGGGTCGTTTATTAATATATCTCAAATGGTTGCTTGTGTTGGACAACAAGCAATTAGTGGTTCGCGTATTCCCAATGGTTTTGAAGATCGATCATTGCCGCATTTTGAGAAACATTGTAAGTAACAATTTAAGTTTTTTTCTCCTTGTATTTTGTAGGTATAATCAAAACATTGAATTAGCGCACAAATTATCAGGATTTTCTGTATGCATTTATAATAAAAAATGGAAAAAGAGAAAGATCATAGTCATTTTTTGTAATTAAAGTAAAATTCATTGTCTTTTTTAGCAAAGATTCCGGCAGCAAAAGGTTTTGTTGAAAATAGTTTTTATTCTGGATTAAGTCCAACCGAATTTTTTTTCCATACGATGGGTGGACGAGAAGGTAGTATAAAAATGTCATTGAATCTGTTGAACAAATAGTTGTACTAGTTTTCTTTGTTTTTTAGGTCTTGTTGATACTGCCGTCAAAACAGCCGAAACCGGATACATGCAACGGCGTCTTGTTAAATGTTTAGAAGATCTTTGCTGTCAATATGATATGACAATTCGTACAAGCACCAATGATATTGTTCAATTCTCTTATGGTGGGGATTCATTAGATCCAATCTATTTAGAAGGCAAAGATCAACCAGTTGATTATGATCGAATTTACAATCATGTACGTTCAAAATATCGTTATGATAGTGAGATGCCATTAAATGGCGATGAGATGAAAGAATACGTTAATCAACAATTGGTCACCAATGATTATCATTTCATTAAACAAGAGTATAAAGATCAAATAGTTGATTTTATTCAAGATGTATCATTCAAAGTTAATCAACATAGAGAAAAATTTCACTTAACAAACGATGATAAAGACGAAGAAGATGAACGTGGACGACAAATATCATCCAAAAAGAAAAAACGTCGATTAGCCGCTGTCTTATTTGAAATTGAACGTTGTACAAAATCACAACTCCATCAATTTCTACAATTATGTAAAGATAAATATGCACGATCAATTTTGGAACCGGGAACAGCTGTTGGTGCTCTGTGTGCTCAAAGTATTGGAGAACCAGCTACTCAGATGACGTTAAAAAGTACACTAAATTCTCTATAAAAAAAGCTTTTGTTATCTATTTTTATTTATATTTTAGCATTTCATTTTGCTGGTGTTGCTTCGATGAATATTACACTTGGTGTACCACGTATTAAAGAAATCATAAATGCTGTACGTATTCCAAGTACACCATTGATTACGGCTTCATTAATTGAAGAACACGATCAAGATTCGGCAAGAAGAGTAAAAGGACGAGTTGAAAAAACATTTTTAGGTCAAATATCACAGTATATCGATGAAGTTTATTTACAAGATGATTGTTATTTATTGATTAAATTAGATTTAGAACGTATACGTTTATTAAAATTAGAAATAACAGCCATGTCAGTTATCGATGCGATTGTTCGTGAAAAAAAATTTAAAAAAATAAAATATAATCAGTTGGCATTCATCGATTCAGCTACAATTACATTAAATGTTCCTGATACTTTAAAAACAAATTTATATTATACAATTAAACGTTATAAAGAAATATTGCCAAAAGTTGTTGTCAAGGTAAACATAAATTATTTTACATTACGATTATCTATACATTAATTTTACTATTTATAAGGGTATATCATCGGTTGATCGTGCTGTTATCAGTGTTGAAGAAAAAGAAGGTCATAAATACAAATTATTCGTGGAAGGAGAAGGTTTAAGAGATGTTATGGGAATAATGGGTGTTAATGGAAATAAGACAACATCAAATAACACAATGGAAGTCTATCGATGTCTCGGTATTGAAGCAGCACGAACAACAATTATCAATGAAATTGTGTATACAATGGCTAGTCATGGAATTGGTCTTGATATCAGACATGTTATGTTGTTGGCTGATTTGATGACTTATAAGGGTGAAGTACTTGGTATGACAAGAAATGGTCTGGCAAAAATGAAAGAAAGTGTACTAATGTTGGCATCATTTGAGCGTACAATTGATCATTTATATGATGCTGCCTATCATGGACAAAAAGATACAATATCCGGTGTTAGTGAATGTATTATTATGGGTATTCCGATTCGTATTGGTACTGGTGTGTTTCAATTATTGTATAAGTAAGTAAAACAATTTTTTAATCATTTAAAGATTATAATTTGTTCCCATTTCTCTATTTCAGACATCCGAATCGTGGTACGATTACAGGACGTAATCTTATGTTTGACAATATTGATATGCATCAGCCGCTAATAACATCAACATCATGATAATAACTTATATATTTTTTGTTCTGCTATTGTGCACGTTGATCTCGTTATTCATTGATTTGTTTTCTACGTGCTTTTTCTCGTTGTTATTTTTGTTACATTTACAAAACTTTTTATTATTTGATAAAAATGGATAAAATATATATAATTACCAAAGGCAAAATCCTGTTTTTCGGATATTTGTAAATACATCACCATACACTAACATCTGAAAAAAAGTCGATAATATTCATGGATATATGATATTTTCAGTGCAACTCATGTTTCTATACATTCTGTCCACAGATCTACAGACTTTTTTGAGAGATTTATTAGTGGAGAAAATTCAACCCACTCTATCTTTTGGCTGTATCATATTGTAATTTGGCGGTGCTAGTGAATGATAACGTATTTTAGAAATATCTTTTTGTTTTCTATAGTAAGAATAAACAGTGAAACTTGTTAAAAGAATATCTCATAAATTAGGCCTTCATTTCGATTCAGAGGAACTACTATTGTTTTTCATCATTACAGATGAGTTTACGTCAAGCTACGAGACCACCACCTCCGGTTCCAGCAAAACCCGGACAAGTGTCGATTGTAAAAGCGTTATACAACTATACGGGTACAAACATTTTTTCCTTTCTATATTTTTCTCGTCACCTGTTTGTTTTCTACTATTTTGGAAATAGCACGTTCAAAAGAAGAATTATCGTTTGAAGAAGGTGATATACTGTACATAACCGACGATGTCAAACATAAAGTTAGTAATCATTTTTTGTGTCGAGATAGTCATTCAATGAAGTTGAGTTAACTTCTCTAGGATTGGTATGTGGCAACCACATCCGCTAGTCGTACAAGTGGTCTTGTGCCGAAAAATTATGGTAAAACATGATTTGTAAAAAAAATTGTTTTTACTCTTTATCATTTCCATTTTAGTTGAACAAAGTACGGAAAAACTAGAGAATGCTTTGCACGACGCGGCAAAACGAGGAAATATTGAATTTTTACAACAAGCACTTGCAAATAAGGTTTGTAAACGTTGTGATTATTAATGTCTATTTTTATAGATTTTATATTGTTGTTTATTTGTTTAGGCTTCAGTAATCGGTTTAGACAAAGCTGGAAATACTCCACTTCATTGGGGTGCATACGGTGGTTATACTGAGTGTGTAAATTTACTGTTACCTTTGTCATCTTCAGTGATTAATCAAAGAGTATGTACATTTACAAACGTTAGATTTAATAGTGAATATTTATTATTATTTTTATTTAGAATAATGTAGGCGATACCCCGCTTCATCTGGCTTGTTGGAAAAACCATCCTTCTATTGTTCAGTTATTACTAGACAATAGTAAGTGATAAAATTAACTTTTTCATATTTTAATGGAAGATTTATTATCAATTTCTATTTTATTTAAGGAGCTGATAAACATATTCGAAATCAAGATGGAAAGTTGCCTCTTGATTTAACACATGATTCAGACGTTCGATCTATTTTAGAAGACAAAGGTAAAATTCCTTTTTATAGTAATAAAAATAAAGACTTTTCTTTTTTTTTCGTTTTAGTTATTTTTTCTAACTATAAACAGCGTGATGCAGAAAATGGTGATGAAAATTCAGATTAAATTGCGTGCTTTTTTTTCTTGCGCTGCAAATTTAACATTCCTTGTTATGTTTTTTTCTTGTACAAATAGGGTGTTGCTGTTTTTTTGTACTATTTTCAGATATCATATAATGATTTTTTCTTATACACAATTTTATCTAGAAAAATAGCAGAGTAATTTTCATAACTTGTGTTAAAATGACATGACTTTTTGGTTATATTTGATAATTTTCGGTTCTACTTTTATTTCTCGATTTCTGCTACTTCTTATCATTGTTTTTGTCATTATTTACTTTTTTTAAAATGATTTTTAGACTCTTTTTTGTTCTTCTTGATTTCGTTTAAAATAAAACGAAAATTGTCTGTTATTGTATATATGATACTTTCTAGTAGATGGAAATACATAACATTTGATCTGAAGGTATTTGTAGCAGTTAGTCAGTCATTTTGTATCAAAATTACTTCTTTTATTGCGAATTGTGTTTCTCAATGAGAAACAGAAAACAAAAATATTTATACATTTGTGAGCTATATAAAACAGAGACAATAAATAGATAATTAAATTTAATCCTAGTCAACGATGATGATCTATTATCGGTTCTGGAACTAAGACGAATTAATGGTACTTGTTGCTGCTGTTGATTATTTGTTGTTGTACACTGTCCTATAACGTAGAAAAACCAAATACATAATCAATAAAACTATAGTATAAGATATAGATTCATACCTGTATAATGTAAACCATTTTCTACACCATTATTATAAATAGAATGAACATCGTTACAACTTTGACCATAGAGAATCCATGAAGCTTTCATAATTTTTGTTGGATGAATCTAAACAATTGAACCTTTCTTTCATAACCAGTTTATTCTGTTTTGAGAAATTTACCAGACAAAAAGATCTTGAATGTTCGTATATGACTAATGTTCTTTGAAATTTTTTATCTGACCAAGTCGCTAGGCAAGTGCCTTTAATGGCTGTTATCACTTGAACATCTAAACGAAGGATTAATATGTAAACAACTATTGTCTAGTTTAAATTTTCTAAAGTAACTTACCGGGAACTATTTCATGACTACAAGTCGTCGTAAATGTTAATTCATTCGGTTTTTCACAACCATTTAATAATGTCCATACACTCCCACCTGTACACGCTGAAATTTGTATCACTGGTCGATAATTACTGATCGATTTAAAAATACCACTTTGTGGACACATCGTTTGGTCTGTTGAAGTATCAAAGTTACTGTTTGGTTGTTCTGAAAAAGAAAGTAGAATAGAGTTTGAATGCAAAAGATACCAAAATATTTGTTATTTAATTAACCTACTGAATAATGTGTAGGATGTATCACTTTTTTGCAGTTGATGCCTTGATTTATTTTCTTGACAACCCTGTTCACCTGTTACTAGAGTGTAAAAAGCAAAAAAATACTAGAAAAAAATGTATTCTACTGGTATTGAACTAGCGCGTACCTAACGAAAGATCGATAACTAGGTGCGAGCGAAATATCAGTGTGATACAGTATGTTATTGATATGCTATAAATACAAATATTCAACATCACAGTTCAATCTCTATTTTCACAGTACTCATACCAGTGTTCCAATGCTTTTGCTTTAATACGAATCGTTGTCTGATTGTTTAAATAATCGTCATGTTTTTTATTGCGTAGTAATTTCGTTAATTTGAAAACTTGTGTCGATTTTCCATTTGAGTAGAGGATAATTTGTGTTCGATTAAGATAAAAGTGTTTTGAACTTCCACCGACAACTGACCACTTTCCGAGAGTCCACTGCGGTAAAGACAAATTTATATCAGACGTCGCTAATGATGATGAGTCAAGAGTGAATACGGTTGCTGATTCTCTTGATAATAAATCTCGACATGAATCATCGGATGGTAAATAGAGTTCAAGAGGATGATTATCATCATGTTTGGCTTTTGTATATGACTAAGAAAAGAGAGTTCAGTTGAAGAAAGTGAAAGCAATCGTTGAAAAACTTACAAAACAAATAAACTTTTTCCGATTACTACTTCTAGCTACAACGTAATTATTAGGACCATCGGACCAAATAGCCATACACTTTGCCGTCACATCTAAAGAAATAACAATATAGATAGAGCTAGTACTTTTACAAAAATGACGGTAAAGTTTCTCTTTATAAAGTTCTAGTATGGCTCATTATCGTATGTACTGTGCGAATATCTAAAGATTATCGATACAATCTATGCCATAATATGTATGACTCTTCAGTGGGACAAATATTGCTATTTCTTGTCTTTTGTCTTTATACCTTTATCAATACTACATTTATTGTAAGTTAAACGGAATGAGTTAGACGGTAGACAATTGTGAAACGATTTTGGTGTACATTCGAGACTGTTTTCATTAACACGTTTTAATTTCCATAATTCGTGAATTGGACATTCGATTGCTTGAAAATTTTCTATAAAAAAATGAAGTTGAAATTACTGTACTTTGAATGTCTACAAATAATTATTAAAGTATGTTAAAACGGATTTTGACCCTGCTATTTATCTGTTTCGTGTTTGAAAAAAAAAAGCGTGACAGATCATTTCTTGCTGTTTTTTTCCTAACGTCAAATCTTAGGCTTACGTCAATTTAATTAAAGTTCAATAGAATTACAGACAGTATCCGTTGAAAATAAATTAGAACTATATGAACACATATTTATAACTTCCTCTTTTCTCTTGTTCTTGTCTATGTGCAGTGTGTGTCGGATTTAATTATTATTCTTTTAAAATAGATGGTTACATTCTCTTTTCAAATTAATCTTTGCCTGTAGATAATATAATTTTTTGTTGATAGAAGCGAGAAATATAGAATGTAGATGATCGAACTGCTAATTTCCTGTGTTTACATAGGTCAGTGAACATTTCGGTTAGTTAATGCCCAGACAAAAGTTAATGACAGAAAAGCCGCTGGACACTTTCTCTTTCTTTTTTAGATGTCACACAATTATACTCCACATAGACAAGGAGTGAAAAACATCTGTTAATTATACTTACCGCGAAAAATTGTGTATAGTGGTGTATCTGGTGTCAAAGAATTACATATTCGGTCAACAGGATCATCGAATTCATAACATTCACCTAAATATAATGTAGAAGATTGTCAGTGAAAAACATTCATCATAGAAATAAAATTTTTTAATATTTTTTATATGCTATTGTTCGTTTCATACTTATGTCCGTAGAAAACGTTCACAAAGTTTAACAACTGCTAGTTTCGACAACCTAATTCATGAGAGGAAAGAACCGAACTAGAATGTACAAATTTATTTCTCATTTTATCAAATTGTAAGGGCGTATTCAAAGGCTAGTAGAGTACTAACTGAACGACTTAAACGCCTGAAAAACAAAAGCTGATTGCCCTTGGTATTTCACATATTTTACATATTGTTTGGTATTTAATATTTCAACTTAAAAAGCATTCTGAAAAGGAAGTTGTTAAGTATCATATTTAAGAACTCTAATTGTCCTGTGAAGAGATCGTTAGTATCACACTCGCATCATATATGTATTTCTTCTCGTAATGACTCTATACATGGTATTAGTAGTACTACCATCAGTCTTTCTTCTTGAACGGAAATGTTTTTTTTAAAATGAATATACGTTATTCTTGTCTTCTATTCATTTAACATGAAAATTATATTTCTAACATTGTTGTACGTGATAATAATAGAAAGGAAAGAGAAATATGTTCTCTACTAAAAAAAAAAATGGCACGAATTTGACCTCCTATGCATATGGTAACTAGATTCTCTTCTATGACACGTAATCCATACATGTATCTCTGGACACCGATCATACTATAGTAGTAGTCCGAACAAGCAAGCGTACATGATTGATTACAATTAACTTTTGTTTTGACATAAACAATAATCAATTGTTATTATCACATATATACTTACTCTCACGAAATTGTAAAGCATTAATATGACGTTGAATAAATAATATGCAGCGTTTACATCGTGCTTGACTGAAAAGATAAACAATCAATATTACGTTATCATTAAAAAATATGATAAGATAACGAAATATTGTACAACATAATACTGTTATCAATTAATGGAATTATGACTATAAATCATCTACTCAACTGAAAAAGTTCATCGTTCAGATTTCACTAAATTTGCATAGTAATAATTCTTTAAGGACTAGAAATAATTTTTGGTCATACGATGTAGTTGTAGAAACACAAAGACATGATGATACTTCAGTGTTACAGTTGTCACTGATTTATATTATCTAAATCTTAAAATTGTTCATTTTTACTTGATGAAAGTGAAATTCTCACGTTGTACTAACGGAGAAAAATCTAACTGTTGACATTTTGACCATTACGTTGTTATATTTGTGAATGAGCATTTAATCGAGTGTAATACATTGATCTTTTTCTTGTTATATTATAAATGTCTCTCCCACGCATACATCCCACTGGAAAATTTGTTTTCTTTTTCATTTTGATTAAAAAATTTTTTGAAAAAGAAAATCGAAGCATTCCGTCGCTTAAAATTCGATCTATTTTACTGACACAAATGTTTGACATGTTCATTTCTTTTCTCTTTTTCCTGCTGTTACATGTATCTATTGAAATGAAGTTTCTCTTGGCCTGTTAGATGTATGTACGAAAGAAACGACATTGGACTCATTTCAAATTGAACTTAACTATATATTTGTTGACAAGTGCACTTTAAACTGGTGCATGTGTACACTTTCATTGTCTTGATATATGTATACTATAAAAGAGATCAGGAGTGATTTTACTAAATTGTCTCTATTATTATTATTATTATTATTATTATTATTATTGAGTGTATTCTCATTGCGTCAGTAGTTGAATACGCGCGTATGTCCAGTTAATGTTTGAAGTGAGGGATAAATGATTTTAGACATCAATATACGAAGACATAGAACACCTGTGTACGTATACATACTCATTATAAAATATAAATTTGTTTATTGCATCTTGTTCAATACATGTTCCTTTCGATGTTACATATGTTTCATTAATATAAATTAATTCGTTAATACCCGGTTGAAACCATTTACCGATAAGTGGATAAGTTAGATTGCAATTAGATAATGTTGGTGATAGACCTAAAATAGATAAATCAATAATAGCCATAATAATAATATATACACATCAAGGAACAATATACCGCCATTCATTGAATGGTGATAATAATCTCGCATAGCCCATTTGATCTTATAATTGGCAGACAAATAACCAAGAGTAACAAGTTGAAAGATGATTTCTTTTACGGTGAAAAATAAAGAATGTCAACTTGTTGAGATTTTAGCTTGTTTTCTCTTTGAAGCGAATGCATTAGTTGTAAGAAATTCGAAAAAAGATAAGAAATATGCGCATACTTAAGGAACAAACACTAACTGGACACATGATAAACTTTTTTCAAGGTCTGCTTTCATGGATTCATCAATCATTTGATTCTCTTTGTTAGACTTTTACCTTAATAAGGTATCCAAAAAGAATCCATCAAATCGTATCATTGAGCGGCTATACGTCTATAGAACAGTGAGAGATTAATGAGCCGGAGTAGAGAATGCGTTTAATGGTAACATAAGGTAGAGGCGGCGGAACGTTCCCAAACGGGGTAAGCCTCACGGTAAGGCAGCAGCGAATTTAGAAAGTTTGTCGAAAAGGTACAATTTTCCGTAAAATTTTCGTAGCAAGAGCAAGCACACGGAAATATTGTTTTGAGCTCAATTCACCAAAATAAAATGTCAGCTCGAGCTCCAAGAATCCAAGCTGCTTCTACTCAGACTCCGAATAAGTGACGTTCGCAGCAAAAAGGCCAAAAGAGGGAAGAAGTTTGCGCTAGACTAATCACAGTAAAACATATTTGTTTGGAAAACGTGGCATATCTATATAATCAAAGGACTACTTCGCCATTTTGAACAAAAGACAATTTACATTTCGTGCTTTCTTAACGTTCCTGATGCCAAAAGTTCGCATTTTATCCCGATCCAGTCGTCTCTCCTCACCGCACATATCTCATGTTAGTCTCTCCGTTTAAGATCACTGAAAAACAGCAGAGTTTAATTCGCGCAGTAAAAGTTTTTTTCGTCTGTTCTGCAGATAAATAAGACGTTTCTGCCAATGTAGCAAAGTTTTATCCAAATAGCATAGTGCTAAATTTAAAATTCTACATCAAAACAGGATAAGGCTCGGCCCAACAGAGCCAAATCCGGATAAGGCTTAAGCCTTACCCAGCCTAGTAGTTCCGCCGCCTCTGACATAAGGATGTAATTAACGATCAAATATTCCTTTTTCCTCTCGTATCTAGTCAATAATTAGTGTGAACCGTTCATAATTGGAAAGAAAGTAAAAAACTTCACGATTTTACGATATTAATATAGAAAATGAAGTAATTTTCAGAATGAAATTATATGCTATTTTTAGTCGCGACTAACAAAACTGACACAAAGTAAAACTTATTTCTTTAGCGAACGGTTCAATGCAATTGGATATTAAATGTTCCATAACGGTTTTTTCCTTTTTCTGAAAGAAGACGTTCTGTTCTAGATGCAGTGTTTAGACCAGTTTTATACTAAAAATCAAACTTTTTCGTTCATCTTCTCAAAAATATATGGTCATCTATCCTGTCTGAAAAGTTTTTGAAAGAAATAACTTCAAAACTAGTTGTTTTATTGGTTTGACCATATGAGTAGGTTACTTCCACTGAAGAATATCGTTAATAAAACGTTCGGACATTTTACCTATATTATTTAACAAATCTAAGGTTAGACAAGCTTTTACGGTATTGAGAGCAAGACAGATGAGTATATCTTAAAATGAATCTGCAAAGTTTAGTTTGCGATCTGAAACTAACCTAAATATTGCTTTTTGTTCAGAATTTTAAGGACCTCAAGCCTACATGCTGCTTGAGTGGCAAGTCATGTTCTGGTAAAAAAACTGCTTGGATATAGATCTCGATAAGCTATAGTCTAGAAAACAATTTTTTTTGGTTTTACAGCATTTAGGTGATACAGTTTTGACCTGATAAACATCGATTATGTGTATACAACGACAGTAAAAAGAAAACTATTTTTTTTCGTCATTCCGCGCGCTCGAAGTCCTACACGTTTGTCGACTGTAGAACCTTATTCGACGAAAATAGTGCGCAAGATAATGAAAAAAATTTAGAGATTAAACATCTACCGTATAATCATAAGAGAAAATTCTTAAAAATATTTATCTTGAACTTGCAAACTTTTCGAAAAATCTTCTTCTGATGGAAAGAAGATGATATACTTAAGTTTCTCATGGATGAACAGCATTTTAATTTCGAAAAAAATTTTTTCTCTTCTTTGAATATATGATAAAATAGTTATTGAAGCCTGTTTATTATATATATGTAGCAGGTATGTATTCAGAAGAGCAAATCAAGGAACTTATTATTAGAACAAAGATTTCCTTGAGGAGGGAAATTATGACGCAATCTGATGAAATAAATAATAAAAGCCAATTATTTTAAATAGATTTGAATGCGGAATTCGTAAGAGCTTAACTATGGCGAATAAAATAAAGTAAAAAATAGCCGTCTTTCGCACATTCTGATGTTCTAGTTAATCCCAAAGGTTAAACAATGTGAAATCTGTGAAAATATAGTATTACACTTGAACATTAACACTAAAACCTTTACCAACCTTTTATATAACTGATCATGAGTAAATTTGTTATAAATAATAAAATTCTATTCGATTCGTTTTTCATTATGTTCGTTCATCATTGCCATCATTTAATTTCCATTAATAGACGATACAAGTTCAGTTTTGATGCTTTAATATTTAATGAAAGACGTTATTATTTATCCACAATTAATAATCAATCGATTAATTTCTAAAAAATGAAGAGTAACATTATAATGATTTAAAACTAAAATTGAGATTGAACTAGGGGCGTCTATCTCAATCTGGTGAAATTTGTTGAATGTTCATTCGTTTGGATAAAAAACACCTGTTGCAGCATTAAAAAATTGTACTTATGTGCCACTTACGCTTGTCACTTGTCGTTCGAAACATCTGAAAAAATTGTCATTCTTCCCTCTCTCTTCAATTCTAAGATTTGCTGTTTTTTTTAATTGTGAAGAATATTTCTCTTAATAATCGTCTCTTTTTTCTTTCTCTTCTTTCTCTTTTCTTTTTATTTTCGCCCATTTTCATTTTTCTTTCTTTCTCCCGTTCACTTGGCTGAACTAGAAAAGATGTTCGGAGAAGATGATTTTTCTTTATGTGAACAATAATTGTATCGATCTCTACATTGAGATAGATAAGTGACAAGTATATCTCAAATTTTTAAACAATTGAAATGAAGAAGAAAAAAAAAAGAGAAAAAAAAGGAATAACATTTGCGTGTTAGGATCATTGCCGACCAAACTATTATGATAATTCTAATTAGTAAATGGATTTTTGATATTTAAAAATGCTTTTATATGTTCGGATTTTTTTATCGAGAGGATTTGTGCGTGTGAGAAAAACAGAACATTGGTTTGTGTTTTTTTACATAAATGAAATTCAAATGAAAGGGTTGTTTCTAATGAAAAAAAAAAAAAAAAGAAGGAAGAAAAGTGATATATACACATATTTCCTTCTCCTATTTTCTGTATGCGATGATAATCATTTGACACATCCAAAAGTAAAGTTTATAGAAATGGGAACAATCATCTCAATCTAAAATTAAACAACATTCATTATTATCTCATTTATCCACCTCTATTTTCTTTTACAACTTTACTCTCATTCTTCATGTCCTTCAACTACAATCATAGTTATTATTACTAAAAGGACATGTGTGAACTAGTATATAATCAGGTTATTAATTGACATCGCGCACGCACCCTCAATTAAACACAATGAAAATTCAGATAGATTTCTTTTTCTAATAAATTTAAAACTTTAAACATATCTCGACAATAGTGTGCGCACGATTAGATTCATCTATACGAGCTAGAGTAAGAAGATAGTCTTCAATCTACTATATTACATGAAGCAATATCTTTGTATTCAATCACAGGACATCACAAAAAGAAAACAGATTACCCTCGTGACTAATACATAGTTATGGCTTACATGTTAAGAAAGATAATTAGAGTATCGCTCAAGCTAAAACTCTAAAAGTTGAATAGAATAAAGTTTACTATAATATTATCATTTTCTTTCCTAAATATTATATAGTTTAACCTTGTTCGATTTTTGTCCTTTTGTGTGGTATTTTATATGCACGACTACTTTAGTAAATCTTCCGGTAACGGCATAATTCTCTTTTTCTACTTTCGACCGGTTTTTGCTTTAAAACATCAGATCATGTGGAAAGTTTAATTATCTGCTTCAGATCGTTGTTATACAATAAAACGAATAAAACAAAATAGAGTATGAACTGGCTGAAACTTATTCCCATTTTTCTTCCATAAATATACTTTTCGTAGTTCTTGAAACAATTACTTGACTACTTATTATCAATAAAGTAACAATAATCGGGCGTATCCACTTTTTAGAAATTTGTATTCGGCAAATAACAGAATTATGATGATAACGTGTGTCTGAACAGAGAAAACGAATATTGTATAAACTCAAATGCGACACCAGTGATTCAAAGGCTTCCAACTTTCAAAGTACCTGTACAGTGTTAAAAACATACAAAAGTGGAAGATATGCTCAACAACAAGATATAGCACGAGAAGAACAATTATTCTTAACTAAAAAACTCTTGATAGCGTGGAAATCAATACTTGCTCATTACTTACTTCATATAGCCCTCGCTACTTCATGTAGAAGTTCACAGCGTGAAAAACAAAAGTTACTATAGAACTGATTCTTTTGCAAATGTTTCACATGTCTTAGTATTGACTGTGTACACGTGTATAATTACAGCTACAAAGTTCTGTTCCGGCTGTGTGTTGAAAACAAACGAAATAGATTAACGAACATCGATGTTTTGGTCACACACGCTATATTTTGACAGCCTAATATTATCCATCTCATATATATGGTTGAGAGAAGCCTATCTTCTCCTTTGTGACCATCTGCTCGTGTAAAAATATTGTTAGAGAAAAATAATATCAGTGCAGATGATGAAAGTTTTTAACGTTGAGCACAAATCATCAAGAATTGTCGTTTGTCATTTATTACTAGATTTTCACCACGTTTTC